TTTTTCACGCTGTGGAAATCTTTTAAAATCCTCGTCGCCAGTTGTGATATTCTCGGTTGGAAAGGAATCAGAGAGAGGAGCTGCGAATACGGGTTTACTTGGTTTAATGGCGGAACACAGAACAGAACAACCACACCAGTGTCTGACGTCAGCTCTCGACAACCTAATAGTTGGCCTATCAGAAACTATCCCTAGAAACAGTTATGTCTGTATTTCTGACCACTAGGGGGCAACGAACTAATCTATTACAGTACGCGTCTATTAGTAAACATGGAAACAGTGCCCCGGTCATGTAGCCTAGCATGTATGAAAAACTGGTCAGCATCTCGTCTGTTGTACGTTTTTTTATCCCGCTCCGGTGTAAAGGGGAACACAGTTTATGACACAGTAACATAAATCATGCGGTATAAATTCAGGTAAAGTCAGTAATTTGGTCAACACGTCAGGAGGGAGGCGGTTCGGGTCGGTTTCTAAGCTAGCTGTTTCCAACTCTTAATCCCGCCGTCTATGAGCCCCATCCAGGTGTTTTACGTTAACGGCCAAATTAGCTCGATGCTAACAAGTTGAAGGCATGAATAAGCTGGCAAAAACAACTTGAGGAAACAATTTCAGTCGCTGTTCAATATTACCATCCCTCACTTCCGACGTCCATCATGGCGCCTCGAACAGTCACTACTTTCCTTTGCAAAGTCGGTAATTTGAGGTGATGACATCAGTGATGTCATATATGGCATCATATCAGTGACATCACTGGGTTTGGCAACGTTGGAAAATATTAACTTTGAAAAAGTATGTCTTTTTATAACAAGCCTTTTAGTTGAACTATGCCAGTTTTACTGAAAAGCAGACATTACCGCACTCAAATCAGCTTTTATCTAATTTAGTAATCTTGGCTAAATATTAGCAAGTTTTTTGAAAGAAAGTGACCCAAATCCTGTTCTTAGTAAATGTGTTTAATTTGGAAAGTAGATGCCTTCCATTTAATGCAGCAAATGTGCAAAATCTTTTTTTTTTTTAAATTGTGGATCTCCACTTAAGTAGTTCTGGGCTAGTTTCTACTAGTCAAGTTTACTAAACTTGACTAAGATATTTGCACTAGAAACTAGACCAAAACTACTTGGTAAGATTTTGTGGTTTTGCAGTGTAATCCAAAGAATAAAAAAAGAAATACTTTATTTGCTTGATTTTAGTGTTTTTATGTTCCTGACCCTCGTGTACTTTTCACTTGACACTATTTATCCGAGTGACCAAAGGTCTGGACACCTGGCTGCTTTATATGTCTGACAAAACAAACAAAATGACTTCATTTTCAGATGTTCCAATAATAAACAAGTGTTCTTTTTATTTCAAACTAATAATCAAATTCAATCACAATTAATTTATCATGTACAATATCCCACATATATACATGAAAACACTTTGCTACAATTTAAAACAGGTCAACAACACACGCCGTCCGTAACATTGTGAGGGAATGAAGCATTTTTGCACTATTTTCAGACTTGAAGACTAGTTTCCAGTTTCATATTTCTAATTTACGACAGCAGGGATGATGAAAGAGTTGCTCTGCCTCCTCGGCAAAATTGCTGTTCTCTCCAAATTTAGACCTGCCTTGCAGACCTTTGAACATTTCACCAGGCTGATCGTTTGAGGCCTGCAGCACTGATGGAAACGGAACGACACTTCTTTTTGTTACTCCATAATTATGCCAGTCAGCGCAAAGCGGTGCAGCGAAAGGTTGGGGAACACAATGTTACTCGGGAGAGCTGCTTCTAATTAAACCCTGCAAAAATAAAAAAAGCATAATTACGGCTTTATAGGGGTGCAGGAGACCTCACCCGTGTTTCAGTTTCCCCCATCTGAGCTGAAACATGGGAGAGGACGGCGCACATTTCCCTTCAGTGCTGAATCTGCAGCTGCCGACCCAAAAAAACAAAACAAACAAAAAAAAGAACCGGCCCTCTGACCGCAGAACCTCTCCCTTCTGGCGCAGGACTTAATGTGGCCACTGGAAACCTGATGGACCACCACTGAAGAAACTCGCTTATAGTCTGAATCCATTTCGATTTTCAAGTTTCAAACTGATGAAAACGTCTGATTTTTTAATGACAAATGAGCAGTTTTAGCTCTCAGTAAAGCATTCCAGATAGAAACATGTATAAATATATATATAAATATCTGCTTAGGCAAGCAAACTTTAATGTGCTGATTTGTTTTAAGAATATTATTTGGTTATTGCATCAATATATCTGATAGGATGGCTACTAAAGTTGTGACAAATAAGTTTGGTGATGAAATGTATAACATCCTCTGCATGTTTTGGATCCTTGGTAGAGACGTGTAAAAAGCTTTAGCTTCAAATAATTGTTTCTTAAAGTGGCAATTCCTACAAAAATAGAGCTTTTTTTTTCATTTCAGTTTTTCAGTGTCTGCTTGTTTATGACTTCCTGTTTGCTTCGGGTGTAAATATAATGTGCTCATTTCTTTTAGCCATGCGTCACATCAGAACAGAAAAGAAAACCATTAGTCATCTGCTTCTCCAATAAAAAGTAAAAAAAACCCAACAAAAATAAAAAAAAACTGTGACCAAAGAGGCTGGATGGGCAGAAAATGCTGAGTAGAGTGGATATTAGGCGAAGTTTAAAAATAAGGAAAAACCGTCTTTCTAAAGCTCACATTTTATAACCATTTATTTTAGATACAGATTATTATTTTAAGATTTAAAATCTGTATCCTGCTGACCGACGTTCTGACTGGAAATAATATTAATGTTTTAGAGCAGCCAGAGTTTTAACTTCCATCTGATAGATAATCTATAATTATCCATCAATGGTAACGATAGATGATACGTCACTTATCAAAGATAATTCATCAAAATATCTGAGGAATATATAAAAGCTGCTCAGGATATAATAAAAGATGTCAGATTTTTCCACATATTCCTAGTAATATTAACAGTTTGGGCTCCAGTGTTCACTAAAATATATAGGAAGATGTTTTTATTGTTTACAAACATTGTTCTCCTCTATTTTATGGATTTTTTTAAACTTGATGTTATGAACTTTTTTTTTTTTACATTTTTTGATGGGTATTGTGTTATTAATTCCTGTACATGTATTTGTAGTTATTGTTTTATTTATCGTGTTAGTGTATGATGAACCTTTCCTCACCGTTGAAAATGTGTTTTTAATCTAAAAGCTTTCCTACTGATCTTCACCAGGGTTGCAAACGACTGAACAAAATGTGATTTAAATAGGTACAAAAATAAGACGCATTAAGAAGGATTAACCTTTAATAATCATTGACTAATACTGAACAAGTTCCCTGTTTGGTTCACAAGAACGCCACTTAATATTAAATACTTATTTACATATTTACAAGTCATAGAACTGATGACTGTTCTTTAAAGTTGTTTTAAGGCAAGACTATGGATATGGTGCATGGCATTAAAAACAGGCTATGCTACATAATTAGGAGATTATAACAGGTTATTATGCGTTGATCAAGCACACGACATGCTTGATTTGACCTGCTAATTACACATGAAGGGTTTGACGGTCAGTCAGGTTAAGGTTCCTCCTAATAGTGCACTAGCAGCAGAGACAACTGTATGGTTTCTCTGGGACGATTCACCTCACAGGTTCACATAACAGCATGACAGTCAGTTGTGCTTTAAAAACTCCCAGCTTAAAGCCTGACAAGTTTCAAAACTAAGACACCAATTTTTAGACTAAACGGTAAAATGATGAATAGTCTTGATTGAACGGATGAGCAGAGAGTTTCTGGATGCTCAACCCATCAGTTTTTTTTTGTGTCAATAATCCAGCATTGATCTCATCTGAAGCAGACAGCTAATGATTTTTCTAGGAAATTCGGAGGAAGGCAGTTCGCGTTATATACATACGAGTTCACGTCCAAAAAACAACAAATAGCACAAACCCTTGAGCGTGATAAAGGAAACGGTAGTTAGCTGAAAGGAAAAACACTGAACACTTCACCTGGACATCATATAGCTGTGGAGAAACACCGACAGGTGGTTTGTAGCCGTCTGTCCTGTACACTTTAAAGTTTCACACAGATGCAGCGTCCAGCACTCAAAACTACGCAGAGGAGGAATGTGTGTGAAGCCCAGCCGCTCAGTGTCGCGCTGAGGTTTCTGGTTCCCGTTGTGTCGGTGGCGATGTGACGCTCTGCTCGTCTGTTAAATGTCACTTTGGTGGGGTTTGTAGTAGGCCGGGTCCCACAGAAAGGGGGTGTGAGGCCTTTTACTTACAAAGCAGTTGGACCCCCTGACCCCCAGCTGTGATTTGTGCTGAAACGCCCCTCGCCGAAGCGCCGCCGTCGGCTCAGATCTTCTTGGGCTTGCGGCCCAGGTGGTAGTAGTACGCGACGGTGACCACGAAGAAGAGGACTCGACTGAGGAGCAGCAGCATGGCGGCGTTGGGCAGGATGCCGATCTCTATCAGGGTGACGCACGTCACTGGAAACACAAAGCCACGTCAGCAAAACTAAAAACACTTCCTGAACATATGTTCTCTTGTTTGTTTTTATTTAAGTTGGCTGAGAATAAATTCTCATTTTCAGAAAACACTAAAAATGCAGAATGTAACTTTTATATGGTCGATGCACCGACTGCAGTTTTCTGGCCAATCAACGATCTTTGAAAAGCCTGACCTGCAGATTCAGATTTTTTTAATCTGAAATGTTGATAAATGTAGCAAGAAAGTTGCTCAGTTGGCAAAGGTGGGTCTTCTTGTTCTGCTCTGCATCCAGAACCAGAACCAAACGTGGAGAAGCAGCATTCAGCTTCTATGCTCCACAAATCTGGAGCAAACTTCCAGAAAACAGCCGAAACACTGAGTTCCTTTAAATCTGGAGTTGCTTTTGAAACATTATGAATGAAACACCAACATTTAATGTGTTATGTCACGTGACAATTATTCACTGTGTGATTTACAACTTTGTGTCGTTTGGGTTCATTTTTATGATGTAAAAACTTTGAGCTGCCTCAAAGTTGGTGGCAGCTCAACAAATAAACTTGGTTGTTGTTGACTGCGAACCTGTAGACATGAGCTGGTCTGTCAGTCAAACCTCTCATGGCAGAGCAGAAGAGGACAGAGGAGGATTTTTAAACCTTTGCCAAGTTAGATACAATCAGCTTCATATTTAGGTATCTGCCGATCCCCCAAAATTAAGTTAGTGCACCCTACTTTTATAAAAAATAATTTTTTACATATTTGTTGAAACTGTCACAGTCACAGTATAATATGAGACAGATAACCTATGAAATAAAAAAGCTCCTCTGCTTTCTCTCAGTGCAAACTAAAAACCAATCAGAGGCAGGAGGAGGATCTTAGTGTTGTCAATCATACCTGTGTGCATGCCACTCAGCCCCCCTACACCTCTAACAAACCCAGTGAAAGTTAAACCACTCTATAAAGAAGAGTGCATCTGAAATCAAAGTTATTCCAAGATAAAGGGAAACAAAACTTTGATTTATTGTTTGGTTTCTCCGATGTTTCCAGCATTTTCTTAACATCTTAATTTTGGTTTTACCATCTGATACCTGACATTTTTTTTTATCGTCTTCTGGTAACATTTACACTAGGAACTGTCCTTCAAATTTACATTCTGAAGTTGTTTTGCTTGAGAGTTGTTTTTTAACAAGGAAATATTCTGAGATTGAATTATTAGTAATGGGAGCAGTATACAAATTAAACCATCTATAAAAGCTTGTGAAAATCTACCTTAAACCAACAGAAAATAGTGTATAACTGTCAAGTTTATCAGATAAAATTCTAATAAAAACGTCAAAGTTCAGCTACAATGTGACAAAAATGTGGAAAAGTTAACGGAGGTGTGAATAAACGTTGAAACCTTACGTTGAATCTGATTCAAAGCTGCGATTCTCCAAACGTACCACAAGAGGGCACTGTCCACGTGCCCATAAATGATGGAACTCATTCCCACTGAGATCTGAACTCATCCGATGTTTATCAAAGTAAAATTAGAGCGCATCTGAACAGCACGTCTCACGGCTACAGAAACTCCACATGGCAACTCTTAAGATCTGTTAATTACCTAGAAACTGGACAGCAAAGTAGCAGGCTTCACTGAGCAGAGTCCACTGGATGATGACCTTTTCTGCCGTGTAGAGCCCGTTCCACATAATGAGGGCGAGGCCTGGAAAAAGATACAATCAAAGAGAATTCATATTTTAAGGGTTTAGAGGCGTGGGAATAAAAGCGGAGCAAAGAGAAAAGCTCCGGGGAGCGCTGGCTTCCATTTATCACAAATGGAAAAACGGTTCAGCTGAAGTTGTAATCAGCAGGATGACAGTTCATCATGTACATTACAGCTCAGCTTTCTAAAAGCCTGTGCCATAAAATGGTACATCTTATTCCTCAGGTCCGCTTTCCTCCACTGAAACTGGCCAGGCTACGAACCCACTGCATGTTATTGTTTACATCCGGAAATTTCGCGCATGCGCACAACGATTATTTTACATAGCCGCGCTGCCGCGGTAAAACAACTCCGTTAGCTTAACGAAACCTGTAGATATTAACTTATCACAGTGAGACACAGCAAAGGGAAAAATAAAGCAGAAAAACCGGTGAACAACAACGGAATACCATTTTTTTTTCTCGCTGTCTGCGTCAGCTACCCCACGAGAGACTCGTTGCCATAGAAACAGACAAATGCCACTACGTGTTTCAGGGTTCAACACGAAACAAAACAAACAAAAAACAAACATTTCCACACAAGGAACAGAACATTCAGTCTGTTACAGATTTTTGTTTTTAGGGTTGATTTTCATTTTGCTATAAGTGATCTCTGTGACAGATTAGCTACCACTGCTATTAGCTAAGCTAACACTGCTAATTTAAACACCAGCTCTACTGACGATGAGTCAGAGTTTTTTTTTTAAATTTAGTATCCGAACTGAAACACACCGCCTCACATCTACATGTTACGGCTGTCAAAGTCAAGAATAACTGAACCACTTCCGTCTTCTTCGTTTTTTTTTCTTTATAACATTGCTATCTAGTCGTCATAGTGCTGACAATTGGTAGCAAAGCACGGACAGGCGTACATTTAAGATTTAGCGTTTTATGTTTACAGCTAAAACCAATGGTAGTCATCATCAGCCAGCAGCTTTTTGCCCTCCAGCAAGGATCTAACGCTTGTGACGTCACGCTGCAAAGGCTCCGTTGGAGGAGGAAGAAGGAGGAGGAGGAGAAGAAGAAGAAGAAGGAGAAGAAGAAGGGGAGGGCAGTGAGGTGGGAGGGCTGATGGACTGCATCCTCTCCCTGCCAGGATCCATCTGTGTGGCAGATGAGCCTCCATCCTTCACCCCTACTGCTGCACCTCCTCTTGCAAGACATGCCCCCTCCTCCCTGCTGCTCCCTGAAGCTCTGCTGACATTTATCATAATGAAGCCCGGCTCTAGCTGGCCTTATGGAGCTCAGCGATGATTTATGCACATATAGCCTCGCAGTGGCGTGCTTATAGTTTCAGCTTACCAAAACTGTAACCAGGCATTTAGTTACGTTTATGATTTCTAAGATCACCTAAATTCAGATCCAAAAAATAGCACTCCAGTAAAAGTAGCTCTACTTCAACATATTTTTACTCGGGTAAAAATAAAAAGTAGCCATAAGAAATTACTAAAGTTAGAGTAAAAAAGTGTTTGATAAAAAGTACTGAGTAACCGATCAAATTATCAATCATTCAGTATTTAGAAATTACGTCATCAGGCGGGCTAAAATATAAAGTTATGT